CGCCAGACAGAGAGAGACATAGAGACAGAAAGTGAGAAATCACCCCCCAGGGGGGATGGTCACACGGCAATCCCTTCTCCTCCACTCTCCTCTCGGGATCTTGGGCATGCACACACACGCGCCCGGCTTGAGTTTTAAGCCACCGGGTCCGGGACGCAAACCACGGTTGACTACGTGGGAGTCCAGCGACATAGCCATTACGCTAATTGCTGGTTCCCCTTCTCCTGTCCCCTCTCTCTTACCTCACAAGGCACACCAGGCTGGCTAGTGCTTAATACACTTTCTCATAAATGTTCTATTTTAAGTCTCCAACAGCCTTATGGGGATACCCTCACTTTCATTTCACAGATAAGAAATGCCAAATATGAAAATTAACTTACTCTATATCCCACAGTTGCTAACAAAGCCAGCATTTAAACCTGAACTTTAGGTGCCAAGCCAATATTCTTTCTACTATCCTCATAGCTGTCTACTTTTAAATTTTCAGTTCTTCTTTCTTTTTGCTTATTGTTCCAACACATCCTAGTGGGGAAATTTTTTACAGCCTGCTAGCTTTTTTCTGGGGCTCTAAAAGTGGCCCTAGATGAATGACTCAGGGAAGGGCTTGCAGCTGCTCCCCCTCCTATTTCTCGCTCCCCCTCCTGCCTCTTGCCATCCTAAAACTTCCTCTGCCTCCTGCATAGGAGTCCTGTAGTTGTCCTAATGCCATGGAGCTGTTTTTAGAAAGAGAGGAGAGCACGTGGGTGGTACACATTGAGGTTTTCTAGAAGTCTATTCATGTTTTTGTTGAGGATGCTCAGTTTTCACTTGACTGGTTTCAAGAAAAAATTACCTCCTGAGGAAGAGATTCTTTCCCTGCTCTTCCCTTCAACTCTCTTCATCCCCAAGACAGGTTTGCTTCTGGGTTTTGTTGTTGTTTTACTCCCTAGGGCTTCTCCTTATCACCTGGTGCTCAAAGATAGGGGCATTAACAACAGGCAGCAGCCACAGCTGATTTTTCTCTCAAGAAGCACAGGGGAAGTAGATCTTGCACTCATTGGCCTCTGTAGGGATGGACAATGCTCCTTAAGATCTGTGTGTAGGAACCTGGCAGGTGCCATGGTGGTTAAGGTTCTAGACTCTCACATGGTTGCCTATAGTTCAAGTCCTGGATCCAGCAGCTTGAAACTCACGCCAAGCATGTGTGCATGCATACCCAAGCTCCCAGCAAGGGAATGAAGGAGAAGGGATTGCACCTCTGGTGGTGGTGGTAGGGAGTGATTTCTCTCTTATTGTCTCTCTCTAGCTCTCCATTGAGCACATGTACCCTAAGGCAAAAACCTTAAAACAAAAAATAAAAAACTGTTTGCAGAAAGGGACATCTGTTTTAAAGGTCTATTCAAATCTCCATGGATGGTTCCCAGTCCTTTTTCAAACGGCCTAGGTTATTGTTGTTAATCTATGCCATGCAGACTGCTATTTTATGGGTGGGAGAATGATCATATACAGAAGACAGACAATGGGGGAAATTAATTTCATGACATTAAAATAATTAGGAAATAAAAATGTCTGTATGTACAACCTCTGCATTTGGTAGCATAATTGTGCCATTTATGTTTTAAAAAACCCACATCTCTGTTTTACTACATCCATGGTGGTAAAATAAAAACTCAAACACTGGGATCAGCAGGTGGCATCATGGTTTAGACGCTGGACTCCTACATGGCCAACTGTGGTTTGAGTCCTGGCCCTAGAGGCTGCTTTCTCACTTTACCTCTCTCTCTCTCTTTCTTGCCATGTGTGTATGTCTCTCTCTGATGTGTGTGCGTGCCCTGTGGAAAATGAATGGTTCTAAAAAATGTGAGTCTAAAAATTTTTAAAAACCTCAAACACTGAAAATAGATATGCTTTGAGATTAGTGGTACTTCCAAGATATTAAAGTTAAATTACTTGCTTGCATCACAACTAAAACCAAAAATATTAAACAAAGGTAATAATAATGTGCACAAACTAAAATACCTTCAGTTTTGAAAAGAAGTGATAACCCTCCTTTCCATGTAGGTAGCTTTCCAGTATAAGATGCATCATGTGGTATAGGCATACCACCCACGCATTTCAAGTGCTTGCTTAACAATGAACACTTAAGAAGCTTAGTAAGTTCTGGCCTATGTTCTGACGTATCTCCTTTTTACTAATTTTCAAATTGAGCTCTCTAATATGAATGTGGAATCATTGCCTCTTTTCATCAGATCAGTATGGAGGGAACCAGTTAGCTCTCGGCCGGGCTCTGCTATGATTTGCCAGAGACACTTACAACCTGGAAGACTTGTCTTTTCTAGTCTGAGCAGCATTTTTTCAAAGAGCTACTTGCCTCCTAAAGGGTTATAAAGTCCAGCTCTGACCAGAATGAAATTCCAAAGAAAGGACCTACCATTTCCCTCTTCCAATCCAATAGGATACATTTAGCCTCATGTGGAAGCCACTAATTTTCATAGATGCAACAAACTCTCAGCCAAGGGCCACACCCTCTATGACTCTATGTGACTCTAGGGACCAGGACCTGCTGAATTGTTAGCCAAGAGATGATCTGTAACCAAAGAGTATCTGCTGTCCTATCCACCTCCTGGTCTTTTCTGATAGCCATACTATGGCTTTCATCCCCACCCCTTCTGTCTCAAATCCAAACATTTTATTCTCCTACTGCCCTTGTCAGTTCCTACACTTCCTCATGCCTGGTCCTTGAGGCAGAGGTTGTAGAAGACCCAGTAAGAATTTTAGGAGGAGGCACAGATAGCATTATAGGCTGGACCTACCATTTGCTGGACACACAATTTCTTGCTCTTAATTACTGAACCCCAAACTCATGGAAAGGAAGCTATCTTCCTACTCACATAAACAGAACACAAACATTCTTTTTTTTGTTTTTGTTTTTTGTTTTTTTTTGGAGAGGTTTTTGCTATAGGGAACATGTGCTCTTGAGAAAGACAGAGAGAGACCAAGAGACAGAAAGCGAGAAGTCACCCCCCAGGGGGGATGGCCACACCACAATCCTTTCTGCTCCATTCTCCTCTCGGTATCTTGGGCACACAGGTACACACGCACAGCATGAGTTTAAGCCACTGGGTTTGGGAATCGAACCACAGTCAACTATGTGGGAGTCCAGCGACATAGCCATTACACCAACTGCTGATCTCCAGAACACAAATATTAATAGACATTATTTTTCAGTTCTCTGGTCAATTTTACAAAGTGGCTTTAAATAACACCCAATTATTCATATAATCAGGACATATTTTTCTCTCTACTGGATTGTCTGTGTATGGACTTGCCAATTAAATATTGAAAGGCCCATTTCTGTTTTAATTATACTACAGTTCTCAAACTCTCAGGAAGACACGTAAGCAACTGAGGACTATCTGGGTACTAACAGAAACAGCACTACTACACCAAGAACTACATAGAAAATTGCTGGAAGCTGTTGGCTCTCTCACCTCTGGGACCCTCCCCCTGTACTGCCTGGTTCAGAGCTATTCCTAGCCTGTCCAGGACCCTATCCCAACCCTGTCTCCAGTGGCTCTAGGTTGGACTTTATATCTGGCCAGGCCAACTGACTCCATGGGAGCCTCTCATGACCCAAAGAGATCAATCCCATTTAAACTCAGAGGACTTCAGGAGAAAGGACCTCCCTGAAAATGTGGAGCTAGTCACTTGGCTCGTCCATCAGTATTCCTGTGAGGGTGATGGGAAAACGGCAGTGCGCACATGAGAAAACATGGGCCCTGGCTCATATTTCAGCTCTACTGGCTCTTTCAAACATGGCTGATGTCATCCCCAGGACTTGGGAACTAGCTCAGCAGAGAAACTGTCAGGCCCCACAAGCATCACCCACAGCTGCCCTTCACGTTGACACCTGTGAGAAGGGAGAGAACCAAGGGCAGTTTTAGAGATTCACCATCTTGGAACTTTCCACCTGAAGCTGCTTCAGGTTGAAGGTTAGAATGCACAAATTATCATGGCGACGTAATGACATTGAGGTGTCTGGCATGCTTTTTTCTTAATGATGTTGATCTTGGCCACTCAACACACCTCACAGCACAGCTTGCTCAAAGTGGACACTCAGAAAATAGCTCTGAGGTAAGTGTCACCTTGAATAGCCCCATCCTCTGGCAGCAGAGGACCAATAATGGAGTAGATGTAAAAATCAGTTCCCTGATAGAAGAAATGCCCCTAAAGGACCCATTTATGTCATCACTATCAGATGCAATTGCGTCTCCGATTGGCGAGCTACTGCAGAACATGTTCCAGTCCGACTGTGCTGAGTGACTGTGTGACTAGATTACGTAGCTTCTACCTGGGCGTTGGTACCTTCACCCTACATGTGGACAATGACTACATACATTCTTTGGTTTCTTTCCAAACAAGTCCCCCTGCTCCTTCCTGCCCCATTCTGTAGCTGGAGTTCCAATGAAGCCCAATTTGATTCAGTCCTAGGGTCCCACTCCCAGAGGCCAGTGCTTTCCACAATAGTAAGTGAACTTGCGAAGAAAGGAAAAAACAAACAAACAAACAAACAAACAAACAAACAAACAAAAAAACAGTGATATTTTGAAGAGTTCCAGGATAAAGGAGGGTCAGTATTAAACAAGCATTACTCTTCACAGACTAACACTGACAAGTAGCCAAACCCTTAAGGGAAAAGAAGAATTAAAATAAAACAAAATATGTACCGCAGTAGCACAAGTGACAGGATGCTGCTGTGTGAGACTGGGCCCGCATAGGAAGTCTGGGTTCAGTTCAAGGACCAACCTAAACAGGCCTGACCAGGGAGCATGTGCACCTGTAACCCCAGCCAACCAGGAGGATGGGCAGGAGGGGCAGGACATGGTGAGACCCTGCCCAAACTACCTCTCTCTCTCTTCTTCCTCCCTCTCTCACTCTCTTTCTCAAGCAAGAAAATAAATAAACAAATAAATAACAAAAACCAACCAGCACACACACAATACATTTCTTTCTCTTTAAAGGAAAATTGCCAAGGATGCAGAAGGAAATGAAGGTGATCAAAGATGAAGATGCACATTTCAATTTGAGTGTGAAGAGGGCCCCGTCTTTTCCCCACTGCCCGCAGCCAGTGGCCTCTCGAGGAAAGGGTCCCCAAAGGCACCCCTTTCCAGAAACTCTCCGGGGGCCTTTCTCCCAGTTTCGGTATGAACCTCCTCCAGGAGACCTAGACGGATTCCCTGGGGTCTACGAAGGGAGTGGATCTCGGAAACGGAAGAGCATGCCCACAAAGATGCCCTATAACCACCCTGCAGAGGAAGCCGCTCTGGCACTCCACTCCGACGAGAACCACCATGGCCCCGCCAACCTGCCTTTGCTGTTCCCGCAGCCCTCGCGCCCCAAGTTTGACTCTCAGATGATTGACCTGTGCAACGTCGGTTTCCAGTTCTACCGTACCCTGGAACACCTGGGGGGCAAACCCGTCAAGCAGGAGCCCATTAAACCCAGCGCTGTGTGGCCCCAGCCTGGACCACCTCCATTCCTGCCTACACCCTACCCCTACTACCCCAAGGTCCACCCTGGCCTCATGTTCCCTTTCTTCGTGCCTTCGTCCCCGCCCTTCCCCTTCAGCCGGCACACCTTCCTGCCCAAGCAGCAGGAACCGCTGTTGCCCCGGAAAGCCGAGCCCCAGGAGAGCGAGGAGGCCAAGCAGAGAGTGGAGAGGGTGGACGTGAACGTCCAGATAGACGACAGCTACTACGTGGACGTGGGCGGGGCGCAGAAGCGCTGGCAGTGCCCCACCTGCGAGAAGTCCTACACCTCCAAGTACAACCTGGTGACGCACATCCTGGGCCACAGCGGCATCAAGCCGCATGCGTGCACGCGCTGCGGGAAGCTCTTCAAGCAGCTCAGCCACCTGCACACGCACATGCTGACCCACCAGGGCACGCGGCCCCATAAATGCCAGGTGTGCCACAAGGCCTTTACGCAGACCAGCCACCTGAAGCGCCACATGATGCAGCACAGCGAGGTGAAGCCGCACAACTGCCCGGTGTGCGGCCGGGGCTTTGCCTACCCCAGTGAGCTCAAGGCCCACGAGGCCAAGCACGCCAGCGGGCGGGAGAACATCTGCGTGGAATGCGGCCTGGACTTCCCCACCCTGGCCCAGCTGAAGAGGCACCTGACCACGCACCGGGGCCCCATCCAGTACAACTGCTCCGAGTGCGACAAGACCTTCCAGTACCCGAGCCAGCTGCAGAACCACATGATGAAGCACAAGGACATTCGGCCTTACATCTGCTCCGAGTGCGGCATGGAGTTCGTGCAGCCTCACCACCTCAAGCAGCACTCGCTCACGCACAAGGTATTGCGGGACTCCCCTCCCAGGGGTGCGGGTGCAGAGCCGCGGGATCTGAGCACTCCCCGCCTCTGACATGCATGAGCTGGTGACTTTGGGTGAGAGACTTGCCGTGTTGAACCCCCAGCTCTTTCCTTACCTAATGTAGAGAGGAGAGAATGAGGGGACCGTAGACAACCAAATAAGCTTTCTAGAATTAAACATTGCAGACATTGGGAGCAGAAAGTGAGGAAGGGTGAGGGAAGCAATTAGGGAAACTCTAGTGCTTCCTAGCCCCCAAGAATCCCTAGAATTCTGTTTCTAGAAACTTCATCCAGGGCCCAGGATATACAAGAGAGCCATCTTCTAGAGCATTCTCTTGGTCTTTCGCT